TACTACTACTACTACTACTACTACTACTACTACTACTACTACTACTACTACTATTACTACTAATGATAATAATACTGCTGCAGGCATTCTGTTGTTTTACAACTATTTTTTTGGTAGTAGTACTACTGCAGGTATAATATAGTTTAAGAAATAAATTTTTACTTTGCAATTTTAAATATTGAAACTATTCCGACTTTAAAAAGTAAAACCAAGCCATGCTACGAACTAACGAGAAAGCAATCAATCGAGTCCCGAGCCCTCTTAATAATAAATGTGACCTTCTGTAGTTGCAGGCGCCGTAAAACTCTTACCAGACAAACAAACAATAAAAATCAGGTTGACAATGTCGAACTGGCATGGTTTCAGAAGAAAAAAAAATCGGGCCAGAATGGCATTCATTTTATACAAAGACTACAAAACTGTACAGCCTCCAAAATTATCTAAATTGCGTCGACAGATGCGTAAAACAATTGCAATTACTTTAATTTGGAATGAATGGCAGAACAAAAGGATTTTATTTTTGTAAATTTCTCGTCAGATGCGAGGTCGCCTTATACTTTTTGCAACTAGATCTACTCGGGATTTTACCAAAGAGTTTCATGTTGGTTCTCTGCTTTCAGTTAAGTTTTAAATAAGCTATTAACCCCTTCATTGCTTGGCCCGAGACTGTCTTGGTCTCTCTGGTTGGACTAAAAGTAGAAGCCAATTTCTGTGTTACATATATCTATTTCTATTACCAGTCGTAAAAGCACTTGCAAGGGGGATCTCGTGGCCTAGAGGTTAAGGTGTTCACCTCTCGTTCAAAGGTCCCGGGTTCGAATCCCGGTAGCGACCGAAAAATGTTCTTCTCTAAAATTGCCTCCTTTCACCTCCTTTCCTGCTCTCTAGCAATGATCTGTCTTCTGCTTTCGTCTCCACTCTCTGCTCCCACCTCCTCACTTCCTTTGCCCCCTCCTCTGGGCTCATGACTCTTTCTGCAGCTACTCTTTGGCTCCTTCTTACTGCTGTCTTTCAGCCACACCCCTGATCTTCTGGTAGGAAAGATCTACACCTAGCCTTCAGGGACAAGGGTGTAAAAATCTCGGAGGCCCCGTGTGCAAATTGCGCACGTTAAAGATCCCTCCGTCGTCTAAAATCGAAAAGAGTAGTCTTCGGCCGCCACCTGGGGATATTTCAAAATGTTCTTCCAACTGAAAATGTTTAATGTGTCCCGCGCGCCCATATGACATTATGCTGTTGCGAGCGTCGTAAAACACTTACCATAAAAAAGCACAAGCTTCACTGTGGCTTGGTGTCCTTTTCTGTCTGTTGAAGCGCTGGGAGGGGGAAAAGAAGCGATCTACCTCTCTTACCCGAACAAAGTAACCCTTCATATTATTCTGCTCCAAACTCTCATCCCTCCCCCAACCCTATCCTAACCACCCCTCCTCTTCCCAATGTTATGGTTTTGTTCATTTGAATACGCCATGCTAATCACAGGAGCTTAATTTCAAGAGACTATATTTTGCAACATAATCATATGCACTTGTTGATAAAAGACAGTCTACGCAATTAATCTGTAAGCATCTGGTCATCTTTTCAATTACTGGTCTTATTTCTATATAAAGATGACTTAATGTTGATCCCTCTCTCTAGTGGATCACTACCTTGCTGTGGTTGGAGAGCTTGTGTGCCTCAGTGACCCCAAGAGCTATGCTGGCTGGAGCTAATGCTCTTGGTAGGGCCACCCATGCCAGACAGGTCGACGGGTAGAGGTCAGACGAAGCGTGACCCACCGACCCTCCAGGTTTCGGAGGTTCAGCTCAGGGCTAACAACCCAGACTGGTATAAAGCATATGTTACGGAAACGGCAACAAAGAGACACCATATTTCTGTGTGTGATGGACCTTCAGAGTCCCTTGGGACTCGTATGAATGCGGGCAGTGAAAGCCGCAAGGAAGCTGTTTGCAGGAAGATGGAGGACCTGAACACCGCAAAGACAAAAGTTATCATAGGACTGTGGAATGTAAGGACAATGTATGAAACTGGTGAGTTGGCACAAGTAACGACAGAGATGAGGAGATATGGATTGCACATTCTGGGCATAAGTGAAAGTCACTGGACAGGATCCGGCAGGCTGAGAACAGCAACTGGAGAAACACTGATCTATTTCGGCAGAGAAGACAGCCAAAAGAGGGAAGGTGTAGCTATCATCCTAAAAAAGGGACTTGAGAAATGCCTCATGGAGTGGAAACAGGTCAACAGCAGAATGATGACACTGAGACTGAAGGGAAAGCACAGCAACACAAGCATCCTCCAATGTTACGCCCCTACTAACGACAGTGAAGATGAAAGCAAGGACTATTTTTATGAACAGCTACAGAGGGAATTGACAGGTATACCTCGTCACGACCTTATCGTTGTAATGGGCGATCTGAATGCTAAAGTAGGAGAGGACAACACCAACTATGAGAGAAAGATGGGACAACAAGGTACGGGTACAAGAAATGAGAATGGTGAAAGACTAGTGGACTTCTGCGCATTGAACAACTTGGTGATAGGCGGAACCCTCTTCCCACACCGTACAATTCACAAACTGGCCTGGGATTCTCCAAATGGCCGGGACAAGAACCAGATTGACCACCTTATGATAGGAGGAATGTGGAGACGTTCCCTACAGGATGTGAAAGTCAAAAGAGGAGCAGATGTCGGCAGTGATCACCATTTAGTGACGGCAAGGATAAAACTCAAGCTGAAGAAAACATTCACCAAGGAGGCGACAAGGACACGATTTAATGTTCACAAGCTCAGTGATGGCAATGTGAGATCTGCCTTCCGACTAGAACTAAAGAATCGATTTCAAGCTCTCCAAGACCTCGAAGAAACCCCCCCCCCAATACAGATGAAGTCAATACCCAATGGAAGCATATTGTTGAGGCCTACACAGAAAGCAGTAAGACATGTCTTGGTGTCAAGAAAAAGAATGCAAACAAAGAATGGATACAGCAAGGAACTTGGAATACTACTGAAGAACGAAGAGAAATCAAGAAAAGACAGCTTGCAGTTAAATCAATACGGCTACAAGAGAAGCACGCAGAGGATTGCAAGAAAGACTGGTCAGGAAGGACAAAAGAGAAACCATGGAAATGTTGGCAACTGAGGCAGAAGAGGCAGCTGCTAAAGGCGAACAAGGCAATGTATACAAGATCACAAAAATAATATGTGGCAAGTACTCCGGTGGAATGAGTGGACCAATTAAAGACAAGGCTGGCAAGCTGCTGAAAATCGAGAAGGAACAGGAAGCACGCAGGACAGAACACTTCAGGGAAGTCTTAAACCAACCTCCACCTGAGGACACCCCAGACATACAGGAAGCTACCTTGGATCTTGATATCAGCTCTGACCCACCACAGAAACACGAGATTGTAAAAGCTGTTAAGAGCATGAAAACAAGAAAATCTCCAAGAATGGACAACCTGAATGCTGAATTGTTTAAAGTAGACCCAGAACTGACTATCACCATTCTTCATCCACTATTCAAAACCATATGGGAGGGAGAGCAGATTCCCGAGGACTGGAGCACTGGAGTCATTGTTAAAGTACCAAAGAAAGGAGCTCTAAGAGACTGCAACAACTGGAGAGGTATCACGTTGCTATCAGTTCCCTGCAAGATCCTGGCCAAGATTATTATTAATCGGATGTCGGATGCCGTAGACAGCTGCTTAAGAAAAGAACAGGCACGGTTCCGCAAAGAAAGAAGATGCGTAGATCAGATATTTGCCCTTCGCAACATATTAGAACAGTGCACGGAATGGCAGAGACAACTTTATGTCAACTTCATTGGTTTTGAAAAAGCAATCGACAGTGTGCATAGAGAAACTCTTTGGTACATTCTACGATCTTACGGAATCCCTTGCAAGATAGTGAAGGTCATCAAGAGCTTCTACCAAAACTTCAAGTGCGTTGTTGGAAATAGTACCACTGCTTTTGAGGTAAAGACAGGAGTTCGACAAGGATGCAACATGTCAGCAATTCTGTTCAACCTGGCCATTGTCAGGGCCATGCAGAAAACAACAGAGGCATAAGGTGGACCCTCTTCTCCACCCTCGAGAATCTTGACTTTGCCGACGACCTTGCACTACTCTCCCATCCCAACCAGCACATGCAGGAAAAAACAAACCGACTCCACAAATACGGACGCCAGATTGGGTTAAGAATAAACCAGAAGAAGACAAAAGTGATGGTCCCCAACGTTGATTAGAGTGAACAACACAGACCTGCCTATAACAGACACATTTAGCTACCTAGGCAGTATAATCAAAACTGACGGCGGCGCAAAGGAAGACATTATGAACAGACTCGGCAAGGCAAGATCTGTATACAGAAGCATGATCAACATCTGGAAGTCAGGACAGTTTAGTATACAAACCAAGTTAAAGCTG